GTCGCAGGAATCCTCCTTTCTCTACCTCCCCAATGCTGGGATTACAAACATGGCACCGCACTCAGCTTTTCATGTAGGTGCCAGAAATCAAGCCCGGGTCCTCATGCTTGCATGGCGACCACCTTATTGACTGCTGGGTTTGAGTAACATTTTAGAATAATTCCACTTATATTCTGTGCTTTGATAAAGTACAGTGCTATGTTCATTATTTCGCCTCTTCCTCCAGCATCAGAATGGATAGTGATGACCCAACAGATGCAAAGGGGGATTTCAATTTGAACCAAGAAATAATCCTGTAATATGGAAATCTGTGAAACCCAAATTGACACTTTTGCCTTTCCCCTCCTTTTTTTAAAACACTGCCTGCATATAGAGTCAATTATCCTGAGCAGATTATGTTTTTAGTTTGAACTAATTATCTGTGAATTGGACATCCTGGAGGAAGCGCCGGCTGTGTCTGTAGATGGGAGAAACCAGCCGGGGAGGAGGCATGTTACTGCAGAGAGAGGAACTTCAGAGACAACCTGAAAAGCCCAGAGGAACACAAAGGCTTGTAATGTATTTGCAGAATGAAGTAGAGGGGGAGGGAGCAAGGAACCAGAGGCAATTAATACGTTTCTTTGGAAGCTAATTCACGAATCTTTACCATGAACTCTGAAGTCTCGTTCTTTGTTTCTGGTCCAATCTGCCTTATGTTTCACACAGCTAATTAATTAGAACACGCATTGAATACTTTGCCAAGGGTGTGCAATTTATCATGCCTGGGACCGTCATAGGCAAATTTTTGTTTTTTAAGATGTATGCCATTAGCTCTCACGGGAAGCATTGAAAGCATTTCCTTACGTGAAGCTCTTGAAAACTAAGGGGGAGGTGGGCATTTGATTGACAGGCAGCTGAAATGGAGACACAGTGTGGTGCATTTGAAGCATAATATCTGAGCTCAGATTCACACCGTGCTACTGTGACCGGGGCCTCAGGTTTCCCCATTGACAGTTACCTGCATCCGGGGTTGGGTAATTGAATTAGATGGTTTTAGAGGGAGCTCAGCCAGTGGGCTCAGGACTCCAGAACAATGAAGAAGGTTACGCTTCCATGGACTTCGCTAGAATTTTTCAGCCATAGGAATCTAGGAAAGAGCTATTTTGTCTCTAGCATCATTTGTGTTTTGATGACAGTTGTGGGTAAGGAATGAATGAGTACCATTGTTGTTGTCAGGGCTCAAGGCCTCAAAAGCACCCCACTGACCCCCATCATCCTAAAGCTCTCATGCAAGGTGAGACACTCCTAAAGACTGTGAAGGCCCCATAAGGCTAGAGTGTGAAACCATTTGAAATGCCTTTTATCTAATGCCACAGGGCTCTGAAATAAAGACCTCTTGCTTGCTGTGGCTTCTTCAAATATGGTGTGGGGGTTTTGCTCAGTGTAACTGTCCATGTAAATACATCTCTGGTGTCAGCCTCGGGAATGCCCCACATGGATGGATTTCCTAGCCTCGGACAGGTTCTCAGAGGAGGAGAAACACTCAGATGAGGACATCATTGCCTGTTCTAACTGCTTTTCTGTTTAGAGCATCACTTCAAAGATGCCTTATTAGTTTTCACCAGTAGAGTATGGGGTCACACTCTCCTGGTTTTTGTAGCTGGGTTGGGTCTCATTCCATCTTATAGTTTCTGCATTGGAAATATCTATCTGCCTTGGAGCTGTATTGGACTATGAATGTTGGGATCAGCCCCCTGAAGTTTGTCATGATTTTCATGCACATATCTGTGTGAGTGTGTGTGTGTGTGTGTGTGTGTGTGTGTGTGTGTGTGTGTGTGTGTGTGTCTGGTGTATGTGCAGGCCTGATGCCAAGTGTCTTCTTCAATTGTTCCACGTTAGTTTTTGAGACAGGCTCTCTCTCTCTCTCTCTCTCTCTCTCTCTCTCTCTCTCTCTCTCTCTCTCTCTCTCTCTCTCTCTGAACCTGAAGCTCGCAGGCACTTGTATGGTTGGCCAGCAAGTCCCAGAGATTCTCCGGTCTTCGCTTCCAGAGAACTGCAGACATGGACTGCCATCCCAAGTTCTTTCCATGGGTGCCGGGGCTCCATAATCAGCTCCTCATGCTTGTGAACAAGCACTTTGTTGATGTATATGTCTTGTCAAGGTTACTCGTATTAATGGACAGAAGAGTCAAGCTCATGCTATCATTTGGGTCTTGTATGCTCTCCTGGGGTTTGTGGCTTGATTCCCAGCTGTTGGCAGCATTAGGAACAGTGCGTCTTTTAGGAGGTGGGGGTGGTGGAAGGGACCATGTCACTGCCAGGGCGTCATCGAAAGACACACTGGGACTCTGTCTCATTCTTTTATCCCGTTGCTTCTCAACCTCTACCAAGTGAGCGATTTTTGCCTGACACATGCTCTCTGTTATGTTAGTCTGCCCTGCCACAGGCCAAAAGTGACAGGGCCAGCTAACAATGGAGCAAAACCTTTGACGTCATTAACCAAAATAAGTCCTTTGACGTTTTCAGCTTATTTCCTCGGGTGTTTTCTCATAGCCATAGAAAGCTGGCTAGCACATCTGAGGAGATCCTTGCAGAGCCGAACTGGATTACCCACGGAGGACAGTGTGTGTGTGTGTGTATGTGTGTGTGTGTGTATGTGTGTGTGTGTGTGTGTGTGTGTGTGGTCCTTGGTGGAGAAAGGCACGTTATAGCCTTGTCCCCAGCTTTCCTCAAATGGGTGGAAGGAGACAGCCACACCTGTGGGAAGTAGCAGAGTCCAAAGTGGCAGACAGGGACTTAAGCTGTGTTCCCGTTGTCTGTTCCTGGGGTCACAGATGGGAGTCCTACATGTGTTCTTAGTCTGAACAGAGTTTGACAACCTCAGCTCAATTATTACACCAACAACTTTCTAAAAGGCAGCGATTTCATTTGAGACTCTGATTTCCAGACTCCTCCTGAAGACTTACCAACAAGACTGAGCCAGCCATCTCCATGGCAATGGCCGTGGAGCTGTGTGTGGGCGGCTCTCGGTACCTGGCCCCAGCACCTGCCACTCTGGATTGAGTTTCCTACTCCCAACATCATGTGCCACACACCATGCCTAGGGCTGTCATAGTGACCCTGGCTATAGACCAATGCTGTGGACATGAGTCTGGACAAGTCTTCTCTTCTCCTTGGATACCAGTTTCCCCAGAAGCAAAATGAGGAACTGACTGCAAAAGGGGTGCCAAACTCAGATTCATGATTCTAGGCTAGTAAGGAACTTAAAAGTACTTCCTTCAGGTATATATTAGAAGGCAGCAACATTTCTCCACTCATAGCAATTCTAATATTCATGAAGAATTTGCAAAGCCGTTTGTAACGGCAAAGGAGAGCTCAGCCTTGCAGGGACATAGGAGACCTGAGGTCTGGGGTAGTGATTGTGTGTCAGGGGAAGGTTTGCTGTGGAAATAGTCTTCAGCTTTCCTGTTGCCCGAGTAGTGTCTCAGACACCCGTGAATTGTGCTTGTCTGCTATTGACTGTGAAAATCCAGCCCAGGCTCATAGATCCTTGGCTGTTTGGTGGACCTGATTATGATTCTGAATCTTCATATTTTGTTTTGCATCCAAATTGGGTTTGAGATGTGAGAAGAAGCAGAACCTGGGCTTGGTCCTGCCTTGGATCTGTCGTAGACTTATTCTCCTGGTCCAATTATGTCTTTCTGTTTCTAACTCTCTAAGGGGGAGCACTATTTCTTCTATGTTCTTAAGAGTCATCTTACGTTCAATGGAAATATCAGGGAAACTTCCAGAAGAGAAGCCAGGTCTCCATCCCCCAGTAGCTCTGCAATGTGTAGGATTCCATGCAGTCCCAACAGGGTCAGCTTTCTGTTGCCAGAAAGAAATGAACATAAGAAGACAAAAGGTTTACTTGTGGCTCCAAAATCCAGACATCTCAGCACATCATCAGGTGATGCTGCCGGTTTTCAGCCTGTATCCAGGCAGCCCATCATAGTGGGTCGAGTGTGATGGACCAAGCTGTTTACCTCACTATGTCAAGAAGCAAAGAGAGTGAAGAAGGAGCAGGTCCACAGTTTCCTTTAAGAGCGCACCCACTTTGAGCTGACAGCCTCCTTCCAGACCCCACCTCTTTTTATTTCCACCACCACTGGATGGCACCAAGCTGGGGGCTAAGCCTCTAACATGTGTGCTAGGGATGAGCTGATCAGTCCAGTTGGCCCAACCACGAGGTGCCCAGGTGTCTCCACTCAGTTTCAGTCAAGTCCCCCTGTACATCTTCCAGTTAAGGGTGAGCCATGACAAGCGACCAGGACCCAGAACCCTCTCCTGCCATTCTGGCCTTCAACACGGACATTCTCTGAACTGGCTACCTTGGGGTCAGTGTCCCACATGGACAGTTCTACCTCCTTTCTTAATCAAAGCCAAAGACTCTGCCACAGAATTGCAAATCATTCTTAGTCTTCATTGTCCCCGCTTTAAAGGGTCGTTTGTGTTCTGTCTTGCAGAGAAAGACAATCAAAAAGAAATGTAGAAAATTGAAAAATTAGGTTTCACATGCATCCCTGCCAGACTGATTTTTCTGAGCACATTTTCCCTGCCCTTGGCTCTCACTGTCTTGCATGCACTAGTTGACTGGTAAGAACCTTCCCCTCTCTTAGTCACTCTGATGCCAGTACAGTCTACTTAGCTAAAGTCAGTGTCTTGATTCCCTGTCACAGAGGCTTTGGCCATAGTAAGGACTCAGCAAGTATTTGTGGAAAGAATAAATGATTGAACGACAGACTGAAAGTCCAGCTGACAGGAACAAGTGCTATTCATGCCATGGGAGAACCCTGCCCCCACATGGTCCTCTCCTGCCTTTCTCATTTCCCATCACCAACCTTTTCTTTCAGCTGGTGCAGGCAAGGAGCGGTCCCTACCCCCCAGGGTGCAGTCACACGGAGCTGTCCAGCATCCTTTGAGAGAATGAAGGGATCTAATTTTCAAGGTGTCTTTTCTTGATGTTTCAGAGCCTGAGCAGCTGATGAATTCTCTGAGAACATTTCCCATTTCCCTTCCTGGGTGCACTGGAGAGGTGAGCTGGGCTGGTCACTCTGTCTTCCTTATCTGTAATGTTGTGGTTAAACATCATTGGTCTGACCAGTTAGGGATGAAGGGCAGGCTGAGGAGAAAGCCTGATCACGTACACCACATTCGAGGAACACATCATTTATCTTCCCTAACTACGTCTTTCTAGGTGGTAGCAACGGTACAGAGATTAGCAGCCTTAGAGGCCATGTCCCAGAAAACTGCATCCAGGGAAGCCCCTCCTTAAGATTTAAATTGCCAGAAGGTGGAGGTTTTTGGGCTCTGCTGAGGTCTCTTAAAACAAACCCTCATCAAAAGAATCTAAATTCTGCCTCTGCCCTGATACTCTAAGCTACTCAAAGCCTTACATATTGCTGGCTCCTTAAATTTGATCAAGCTGTGCCTGTCAATCACTTGGAGCCCAGTCTCTGGGACAGCTGGTTCACCTGAAGACACGCTAAAGAGAGGGGGGAACTAATTATCCCCTTAATGTTGTAATGCCGTTATCTTCCCAGCAGCCTCTTGCTTGCTTGGACAGACACTGACTGTGTTTCTACGGGGTAGCACTGCAGAGCCTTGCTCCTCATCTGAGTCCTAAAACTGTAACCTTTCCTTTCCTCTCCCCTCCCCTCCGCTCCTCTCCTCTCCTCTTCTCTCATCTCCTCTTCTCTGCTCTCCTTTGCTCTCCTCTCCCCTCCCCTCCCTCCCTCTCTCCCTCCCTCCCTCTGTCCCTTCCTTCCTTCTTTTCTTTTCTTTTTCTATTTCTACTTCTTTCAGATACTGGCCAAATGTCTAACCCCACTTGACCTGGCACTCTGGGCTTTCTCCAAAGCCACCCCCTCACCATCCACCACACAGCTGCTTGACAACCTCCACTGTAGAAGGCATGACCTTTTCACTTCCTCTTTTCCATTTCCCTCTTCCAGCTGTGGCCAGGATTTACAGCTTTCCAGTCCCATTCCTCTTCTCTCAAAGTCTAATAAAACCCTCCTTGAGCCTCCTTCTAAGTCTGCTTTTAAATGCTTTTATTAACTAGACTAATAACCCAAAAGGTGACCTCAGTTTTCCTAGTAACAGTAAGATAAAGTTTATCTCAGACCTTCCAGGCTAATTTAATGCTGGTTTTGCTGAGAATAAACCATTTGCATGGTGGCTTAATCAATTAATTTATAAGCCTTTCATATTATTTCTTTGTTAATAGAAGTAAAAGCTATTGCTCAATACTTACCATGTAGTATTCACTATGGTGCATATTTTATGTTTTCTTATTTAGACTGATCAGCAGAATTATTGTCTGTCTCTCTCTCTCTTTTTTTCCATGTGCACATGTGTGGTGTTGTGTGGTGTGTGTGTGTGTGTGTGTGTGTGTGTGTGTGTGTGTGTATTTGTGTGTGTGTGTTGTGTATACACTTAATTGTGTAAGTTAGGTGTCTTAGTTAGGGTTTCTATTGCTGCAAAGAGACACTATGACTGTGGCAATTCTTATAAAGAAAAACATTTAATTGGGGCTAGCTTACAGTTTCAGAGGTTTAGTCCATTATCATCATGGTGGGACATAGTGGCATACAGACAGACATGGTGCTGGAGAAACAGTCGAGTGTCCTACATCTTGAACCACAGGCAGCAGGAGACTGTATGCCACACTGGACGTAGCTTGAGGATATAAGACCTCAAGCCCACTCCCACAGTGACACACTTCTGTCAACAAGGCCACACCTCCTAATAGTGCCACTCCCTATGGCCAGGCATGCAAACACACAAATCTGTGGGGACCATTCCTGTACCAGGTTTTTTCTTTTCCGACTACCAACCGGCTCCCAAAGGATGACATGGAGACTTATTATTAGTTTTGAATGCTTGGCCTAGCTTGGGCTCATTTCTGGCTAGCTCTTTTAACTTATATTGACCTTTTTCTCCTTATCTACCTTTAGCCTCAGGGCTTTTTACTTTTCTTTCCTTCTGTATAATCTTACTTCTACTGCTTCTCGATGTCTGCCTGTCTGGCATCCTCCTGGCTTCTGGCCCAGGCTGTCTCCCTTGTTCTCTCTTCCTCTTCCTTCTCTCTTACTCTCCTTCCTTTTCTCAAGCCTAGATTTCTCCTCCTATTTATTCTTTCTGCCTGCCAGCCACACCTATCCTTCTCCTGCCTCTCTATTGGCCATTCATCTTTTTATTAGACCAATCAAGTGCCTTAGGCAGTCAAGGAAAAATAAATGCAACACATCTTTACATAATTAAACAAATGCAGCATAAAATAACACACCTTTACACAGTTAAAGTAATATTCTGCAGCATAAACAAATGTAACACATCTTTGCCAAGTTAAAATAATATTCCACAACACATTCCTATTCAAACCACCACACTCGGTAGTATTTTCTTACATTACTCTCCACCAGTATTTTGAGACAAGGTCACTCTGAACCAGTGCTCATGATTTCAGCTAGACTGACTGGCCAGCAAGGCCCAGAGATCTGCCTGTCTCTGACCCACAGCATTGGTGTGCACTCCCATGCCCAGCTACTTTCCATCGGTTTTAGGGATCTGACCTCAAGTACTCAGCCTCTCATTGGGAGCAGTTTACCCCCTTAGACATCTCCCTAGCCCCTTATTTCTCTCTTACAGATGTTAAAACAGCATCTACGAGACGTTAGGTCATCTTTTGTAGGTAGCAGAGCTAAGAATGACATGCTGGTACCTTGACCTCAAAACCCAGGCTCTCCTGTGATTTCTCCTTGGAGAGAATAAGCTGATGGCTTTTACAGGCTGCTCAGTCAGTCCCAAAAACTTCTTAATGGAATCTCTTCCCTCCTCTTGATCTACCCACACGGGTCTGGAAAAGCTATGATTTTGTTGTGATGGATGAAAATGGTTTGATGATTCTGTTTGCTGTGTTGGTAAAAGCAAGCTCTACCTGCCTCAAACATCTGTTCGTTCCTCATCACAGCATTATTCTGAGACTGAATAAAAATGCAGAAGAGGGCAGACAATTTTAGCCCACAACAATTTTCAATTTTAGAACACTTTTGCAAATGATGCTGAAAGAGGTACATATTCCATGTGGAATAGACTGGGACGTTTCAGTCCTACCAAACAAACCTGGGGAAAAAAAAAAAGAGTGAGTCCATTAACATTAACAGGTAGCTGCTGCATACTCCTAAGCCATCGACTCTGGGTACCCTTGCCCATGAGGCTAGACACTGGGAAAATAAAGAGGAAAAGAAGATGGGTCCTGTCTGGTGTCAGTTGACTTAGTGAGCACTGTCACAAGAAACAGAATCCCCTTCAGACCAGTTCAAGGACAGTGAGACTCTTAAAGAAAGAAAGCCTCTTCCCAGCTGTGCCCCAGGGCTGTGATGGGCCTTGGAAGGTTGCTGGTCTTTGCCTGCCATGGGGGTCTCCATAGAGACACTATTCTACATGTCTTCTTTATTCTCTAGGTAGCTCAACTCCTATTAGTTAGTTAACATGCACACTATGGGGAGACCTAGGCAGTGAAAATGCTCCAAAGGAGGCTTAACATCCACACTCAAATGGGGGAAAGTTATCCTTTAACATTCTGTGTGGCTTTGTTCATGTCCGGTCATACCTGTGTCTGAACCCTGTCTACATTATTCATTAGTTGAGCCTAGTGTTCTAAAATGGAGACACAGGCCCCAATCCCATACTGCCTGGGAGGAGTACATCAAAGAATGTCCGAAGTGCATGGAGGTGCCCAGTCCATGATGGTTGTTATAGTTTGCGTAGCTTTCTAAGTCTGGAGATGCATGCTGTGGTAAGGTGTCCTCTACCTATGCCATACGAGTGGAGTCACATAAATGCCGGTCTCTAAGAGGTCTGGGCTAGAGTTGGTGAGCTCTTTTCTGAGGGAGCTGTTAGAAGAGGGGCAAGGGAGAGGATTAAGAGTGGGACTCAGGAGAGGTTCTGAGAGCTGAGATGAGGCCGATGCTGGGCATTCAGCCAGAGGAAGCAGAATTGGCTGAGCTTGAAGTGAGCTATACAACCCAGTAGGGTGAAGACTCTCTTCTCCACCGCTATGTCCTCAGGCTCTGACACATGAGTACTACATTATAGTGACTCAACAAACGTCTGCTATGGTAAGGAATTACCGGATGGATGACAGAAAGATTCAAGGCCAGAACGTGGAGCATCGTGAGAGTAAATAGAATCGAGGCGGTTGGAACGACTTGATATAGAGTCGTGGGCATGACCAGGTTCATGGCATGACAGGGTTTCAGTTCATAGGTAGGTAAATTGATCAGATAATACCACTACCCCCATTATCACCACCACCGTCACTGCTACCACCAATAGCATTGCTAGCACCATCACTGTCACTAGCATCACCATTACCGTCACCACTACCAGATCATTACCATATTATCACTACTATTGCAGTCGCATCACCACCAACGCCCTATTAGCATATCTACTACCACCAAGACTACCACGATCAAACCACCAACTCCATAGTCATCCCATGAAAGGTAGTTTCTTTAAAAAAACAAAACATTTTTTAAAGAGCACATTCTATATTAAATTGTCCTTGTTAATCTAATTCCTGCAGTTCACATGCTTTATTGATACCATTACCATTACTTAATGGCTGTGGAAATAGACACTAAGAGATTAAAAACCTTTCTGAGGTTTGCATGCCTAGTAAGTCGAAGAAATACAATTCAACTCAGATATGCCTGACTCCATACAATGTTATGCCTATAGTATCTGCCACATACACACACTCTGCATGTAGACAGAAACAATGCGCCTTCCAGATGGCAGCCAAAGTCTCAAGAAAATTGGGGTATATGACACATCTTGTCAGAATCACACTAATGACTCAAGGAGCAGATGGTAGTCATCTATAGACAGAGGAGGATGGCTTTGGCTGTGGATTCATGATAGAAAGGCCCTAGCTATATAACTATGCAAAGTAAGAAAGAGGGGAAGGGTAGAGGTACTGGGTCCACACTGTAACACTCTCTAACTGTAGCTTTATTGTGCTCA